AAAAAAAAGGCAGGCTATAAGTTATCTATAAGCAGTGCAATTTAGTTAGATTGTTTTTGCTTGTTTCTAGCAATTAAATACATGTCTCGTACTCATATGCAATATGTCTGCTGCTTATTAGAACCGGGTCATGCAGAGTACTTTGCTACAATCTGGTGATTCTAATAAGCAGCAGCATCCTGCTGCACCCACACAAAGTTTATTTTCCAATGCTACTGCACATAATACGATGTTCTTATACCACAAGTATGCTTTTTTTAGTGGAAATACAGCTGAGTGCCGAAAGTTTGATTATGCCAAGTTCAGAAGTCTCATGAATTTGCTTTTTTGGCATTTATAGCAAGTCCCGATCACATTGCTGACTAAATGGAAGTTGACAAAGACATTTTTGACAAGATGCAAGACTTCTCTGTTGGCCTCTAAGGCTAGTAAAGGTAGCTGGCAATGATCTTTTTGCACTAATTGCAAGACCTTTTAGAATTTCAAACTTTGAAGTAAAAAGGCATAGCAACTTATCTGGCTTTGGACACCTTGTTACTGTGATGGGGAAATAGGAGTGTATATGTTGGAATAGGGTGTACTTGTATCAGGTGATTCACAGTCAGAAAATTTTGGTTTTGTAGCAATGCTTATATCCAAACTGCTCTTTTATCAGGTGTGCTTACATTCAGTTTCTATTCTACTGCTGAGCACTAGTACAGTACTGTATCACAAGGGTGTTGTGCTGATCAGTCCATTGATATTTGTAAAGCTCTTTTAGGTCCTTGCATGTAAATGTTGAAAATAAAATGGAGGCTTTTGGGTATAGGTCAGGGGTCAGAAACCTGCAGCTATTTACCCTGCAGAGCCAGGGTACTCTGGCAGTGGGAGGGCTTAATTTGTGCAGAAGAAGGGGGAGACAATCAGGTCCTATTGCCCACCCATCTTGGACCTGGGCTGGGTCATTCTGCCCCATGCACTAGTGTAGGTCATTGGTTCACTTGACTTCAGTTGATTGACTTGCTTTCTCAATAGAATTGCAACTAAAAGTGTCTTTTTACTCCTTTTTTGTATTAAGGGTGAGTGAAGCAAGGTAGAGTCTTGGTCCACACACACTTTTACTACAAGAGCCAGGGTGTGCAAGCTTTTAGAGCATGATGGGGCTCTTACTGGCTTCTGGATGATAATGCTGGTTTAAACGTCCTTCATTAAACTCTAGGGGGTTTTCTTGAGCCAGATGCACTAAATGTTTATGCTATGATTCTGCAAAGGCCTATACATGTACTTGTCTTGTAAGTACTCCCATTTTAAGTACACTTTGTCTAAATGTTTGCCTGAATGAGGCTTTAAACTGGATTTTCATTAACCTCCAACTTGACAAAACACTATTAGCAGGTTCTGTCCCTAGTGGTGATACAAACTAAATGGTAGTCTCATTTGAGTGTCAGGTAATATTCCTCTGGTACCTGAACAATTGAGCCTGTGCATTAATTATGTGACTAAAACAAATTAAATACCCAGGATGTCTCTAGTTGCTAACTCCCAGGGCACAGTAATTGAAATATGTGGTCCTTAGATGCCACAGTAAGAATAGGGAAGAATTTGTGCCAGATGATTTAAAAGTACCTGAAAGAAGAAGCCCTTTCCTGTCAGTGGAAAGAGAATCCTGAACTGCTGTTTTGCAGGTTAGGTAGTACAGTTGCACAGAGAGTGGCTACATGCTGAATGTCTTTAATTCACCAGCACTATTTTAACTGCTTTAAATAAACCGCAAGATGCCAAGATCACTACTACACAGGTACTGCAGTAACTCTCACTTACTATCTTTTTATATATGTGCATATTTTATGCATATATGTAAAATAGGTAGGTAAAGTAAAAATGAAATTTGTAATACTTGAGAGAAACACTGGAGCTTCTGAAATCAATTCTTTTAAAATGTAACTTTATTTTCTGCTAGTGCTTAATGTTCTAAATCACTTTAGACACAGACACATTTGGGCAATTTGCAATGCTGTGTTTGAACCCAAAAAATCTACAGTACCTTGGTAGAAGGATAGAGAATATAATGGTAGAGATATTAGCTCCCTATCTTCTTCTCCAGCCTTTCATTTTGTCACTTGTGCTTCCTTCTACCACACCTCCAGATACCTAGTGGGAGCTATACCCAGTGGCAGCAGAACTTCACCTACTTTAACACGTGCTTTAAGGCTTGCAGTAGCAAACTCTTTCCTTCGTAAGTTAGTAATGCTAAGGAGTTAGGATTTTTTTGGTTTTAAGCAATAATAATGTTTGCCAGTGTTTAAGTGCAATAAGGAAATGTTGAGTGTGCCACAGGTTTTGCCTCCTATCCTACCTATTTGCTTGGTTGGAACTAGGGATGTACCTGTAGAGATTTTTGGGGCTGATACAAATGTCCAATTTTTAAGGAGGCATATTGGCCAATACCAATCCAATTTCTGATTCAGTATGGAGAGCTGCCTCCAGCTGGTAAGTCTGTTGTGGTGGAAGGGGTGTGGGGGGGGGCAGATCAAACCCACCCCCATGGTGAGGAAGGGGGCACAGCCAGGTGCTGCCCACCTGGGGCGGAGTGGAGCGCAGGACAGAGCTGTGGCTTGTTGGGGATGGGGGGGGGTGGCTCCTGCTGCTGCGTGCACCCCAGGATGGCATTGGGAGGTGTGTGCCCCCCAGATCTGCACAGGGCAGGGTGGGGCAGACTGGAGCCTGGGCTGTGCCAGGCTCTTCTCATTGGGGAGGGGGCTACGGAGGGGGCTGCAGCCACCCTAAATTTCTCTGTAGCTTCCTCCCATCACTGCCACGGATCTGGTGCAGCCCCGGCTCTTTCTCGCTCAACTCCCACCTCCCCCCACATGCCAGGAAGAGCTGAGGTTGTGCCGGGCGTGTGGTGGTGCTGGGAGGGAGCTACGGCAAAATGTGGGGTGGCTGAAGCCCCCTCTGTAACCCCCGCCCCAAGCCTAGCCCCAGGCAAGAAGAGCGCAGCCCTGGCTGCAACCCGTCTGCACTGCCCTGCCCCGCCCCGCGCAGCTTTGGGGCACGTGCTCCTCCCCCACTGGGCAGCACCTGTCCCTGCCCCCTCCCTCACTGTGGGGGGCAGGGGTTTGATCTGCCCTCCCCATGCCCCTTCCCTCCCCCCTCCCCTTCCACCACAATGTACTTACCAGCGGGAGGCAGCTTTCCATGCTGCCGGGATCTGCTCCTCACTGCCTGAGTGCTGTGCTGTGGCTGTGTGCATGTGTAGACACTTATAGGTCAAATTATCGGCTGCATTGGGCCAATTTTCCTGTACAGCCGATTTTCTTTCAATATATTGGTACCAATCTGATATTGAACTGATGAATCAGTGTATCTCTAGTTGGAACTTGGGTTCCAGCCGTTACCAACGCACTCTGTTCTCACTTTGTTGCTTGCTAGTTTGCTCTGCGAGATGGTATGTAGAAATTGCTGACAGGAAGCAGATAGAGGCAGGCAGTAGAAAAGCTAATAGTTTTAGTACAGCTCTAAAGTGGAGGATTGTCCTTCAAAGTCTGTAAATACTTAGGGCTAGATCTTGCAAGGGACTGAGTACTTTATTCCCACGGAATTCACTTAATGATTCTCTTCCAATCTGCCATTTAGCATGCACTACAGAAAGTGCATTTATTCTAAGCATTGTCAGAGATGAACAGAATATACTGATAAGTTTTGGGGGGGATGGGGTGGTTGTTTTTAACTTTATTCAAAGCATTTTACAAATATTTAGGTAATCCTCCCAACATCCCTTTTGTAGAAAGTTAGGAGCCTCAGCCTCATTTTAGAGAGAACTTGAGTGAACCAAGAGATGAGAAATTAAGTTGCTTACTGAAGTCCATGTAGTTGTTCTTGTTACTGATAGAATTGGGGCTAAAACTCAAGTTTCTTCAGCTTATTGCTTCTGGCTAATTGTGAAAGGCAAAAAATTGAATAGAGAACTCAATAATTTTACAGTAACAGAGTAGGAGTAGAAGTTGAGTGGATTTCAGATTCTGGCCCTAAATACTAATATCGTTAAAAGGGCAACTTTTCTATGTAGTATCAACATGTTCTCTCTCTTTTTGTGTCTGTCTGCTCACTTATCAGTGTTGTAACCTTCATATAAGATGTTTCTTTGTAACAACATGGTAATCTACAAGGTTCTGAATTGGAAATATATTTTCATATAATGCAGTGTCATATTAAACATAATCTTAATGGCTGACAATAGTATATTTGGTGACTTGACTTAATTCAGTAATTTGGTACATTTGGTGAAAGGGAACTA